GTTCGACAGCAATTTAACTATTCTTTTAATTGTGCCTTTTTTTGTCGTTACGTTCCTATTTCTATCACGAACTCTTTAATGTTGTTATTCTACTTTTCTATATTTCAAAAACAAACTTTACTACTATTTTGGAATGCAAGCATAAATCTACAAATTTATGGTTAACTTTGCAAACCAATTGCTTTTTTAGAAAAAAAACGAAACCAGAAGCAATAAAAAATTTTATTCGAAACCAGAATTAGGACGAGGATCAGAAAAAGAAATGATTTCGCAGATCCCTAGCATAGTGTGCGCATATATTCTTTAAGTTTTGATACGATGTAATCTTTACAATTAACAATATCAATGGGACTTATTTAAAAATGGTTAATGTCTGACGGATTTAAAACAGGCTGAAGAAGGTGAGCCTTCCCCAACTTAAATTTCTGGTTAAGCCACTAGTTAGGTAGACAACTTGACTTTGGATCGACATACTACCTATTCCAAGGGGAAAAAGCGGATCCTTATGAAGCCTAGGATCCAAACGGATCCACAGAATCTCTCAGCATTAGAGATGTCAATGTATATTGATTTTTAATATAATTTACGAGTAATTTAAATTATGATAAGATAAATTTCTTTTAAATTTAAATTATTTAATTTTATAATTTATAAAACGAAAAATTAAATTAAATTCTCACACTAACCTATGAAACTTTATGCGACAAATATATACTCTCTTTAACATTATACTTATTTATGTTTTCAGTATTATTATCTAGGAGTAGTGTAGGTAATTTTCCAGCAGCTACATGGGAGATATTACTACTAACTTTTCAAGGGCTATTTGGGGGTATCAAAGCCAACTATTCAAGGGTTATATGGGGTGTACCAAGCGTAACTTCTGAAGCTCAATTGAGCGATATCAAGAATAATTCCTTAAGACCTATTGGGGCGTACCAATGGTGCTTTCTCAAGCGCTATTGTGATGTACCGCGGGTAACTTCTCAAGACCTATTGCGGAGCAATAAGGGTAATTTCTAAAAGCCTATTGCGGGTATCCAGGGTAACTTAACGAGAGCTATTGGGGGTACCAAACGTAACTGCTCTAGGCCTATTGGGAAGTATTTGCCCTTGAAATAAGAGAAAAAGAGGCTGCGGAAATCTGATTGGCTCAGAGAAAAGGTTCTTAGTCAATCAAATTTCACCAACGATTTTCTCTTTTATTTTAAAGACAAAACATGTGGATTATACAAGAGTTTTGATAGAAGATCCTTACTAACTTCTGTCTGGCCCATGGAACCCGATGTTTTGTCCTTGAAATTAGAGAGAAAAACGCTACTGAAATCTGATTTGCTGAGAGAAACATTTCTTAGCCAATCAAATTCCACTTACGATTTTCTCCGTAACTTCAAAGACCGAATATGAACTTTTTATGAGGTTTTTGACTGACGACCCTACTAACCTCTGAGTGGCCCGAAAGAGCCCATGTTTTGTCCTTAAAATAATGGAGAAGGACGCTGCTGAAATCCGATTGGTTATGAATCCTTTCTCTCAGCCAATCAGATTTCAGCAGCCTTTTCCCCTCCTATTTCAAGGAAGATACTTCCCAATAGGAATTGAGAAGTTACCCTTGGTACCTCCAACAGGTCTTAAGAAGTTACCCTCGGTATTCTTTATTAGGCCTTGTGAGGTTACGCTTGGTGCTTCTCAATAGATCTGAAAAAGTTACATTTGGTACCCTCAATAGATCGTGAAAAGTTACTCTCGATATCCTCTGATCGCTCTGGAGAAGTTACCTTTGGTATCGCCAAATAGCCTTTGAAAACTTGCAGGTAAGACCCCCAAATAATTCTTAAAATTTACAGATGTGCATACCCCTTGTCAGGATTTATAGGATTCAGAAGAATCCAAAAGGATCCAGCTGGATCTGTGAGGATCCATAGGACCCAGAAGAAGTCGTGAGGATCCTTTAGGAATCCGAGGATTCGGGAATACAGGATCCGCTTTTTCCCTCCTTGACCCATTCTTGGTTATTTAGCTGCACAAATGACTAATTATTGTTCTTTTGAAAAGAATTCATTACTAGCTTACATTTATATAAAAGGAGTTGAATGATAAAAATCAGTTTATTGATTTGATCGTGAGCCAAACACATCTAACCGTGAAAAATACGATTTTTTTTAATGTTTGAAAACTATTTTATAATAGTAAATATGAAATGAAAATTCAATATGGATATTGATACTTGGTTTATCGAGGAGGAGGATGGTTTAGTTCATTTTTCTACCTTCAACTAAATTAATTTTCTTTCATTGGCTTCAAGTAGAACATTATTTCTGATGCTATTTCAAAGGGTAGTTTTTGTATAGCTGATGAAAACGTTTTTGAAACCAACAGTACCTCAAAATAATCTCGAAAAACTATATATATATTATTTGGTTCTGTTGAAACATATAGCCATCAATAGCGAGACATGTCGATTACGAATATTGGTCTATTAGACGCCTAAAGAGTTTTAATAAATAATCAATCGAGATGTCGCCAACTGCTCCTCTAGTTTTATGCCCAATTCTTCGATCTCTGTATCTTTTCTATTGATTGATCTAACATTAAAAAAAATTTGTGATACGCAAAAAAAAGGTATAGTCTACTCAACTATAGCCTGCAGAAGTTTTTGGCAAGTATGATCGCCTATAGAAGCTGCAATTTCGGATCAAGCACCTGCTTTTATCTAAAGAGCATGAAACTATTAGTTTGAAACTTACAGATGGAAGTATAACTGTTTCAGAAAAGATAAGGTAATGTGCTAAACACAAAGATCAGATCGATGTTTATCGAAATTCTTAAGATGCCGAAGTATCTGTGGCTTCCTTTCTCTCCATTCAGAAAATTAGATTTTTGTCAAAAATATCGATTTTCTAGCTTTATACAAGGCTAAATAGCCTAAAATTTCTAATGTCGAACGCACTATAATTTATCGATTTTATTATAGTTTTGAGAATTTTATTGTGGATCTAACATAACGCTCTTTGAGAATCTCTTGATGGAAAATTAATTCAAAAGCTTAAGCTATTCAAATATTTTAAGCATTTCTGTAAGATTCTGACAACGAAGAATAGGACCAACATGTGCCCCAGATGTGGACCATACACCTTATAACGCTCTCCAAATGCTTTTCCTATATGCTTTATCGAGACAAAAAAATATCGAATTCTTGAAACTCAAAACTAATGAAGCTTTTTTTTCCAATAATTAATTTTTCTGTTTCTTACCTTTCTTTTTTCAAACATTTCTTCGGTGTTTTGCATGCTAGAAAGCTCGAGAAGGTCTTATTTTGAGAGGAAAATTGTGGTCTACAATTTAGGAGAGTCGGATTCCTTATTTTCAACTCCTCGAAAACACTGAGTTTTGTTTTAGTAAGTACACCCTTAAGTTTTCAAAATTTTTAAGTTATGCTTTCACCAAAAGTAGAAGACGCAACATTTTGAAAACTTGAGATTTGTTAAATTGTAGTCACAAGTGTTAGTTACATTTCCACATATATTCGAAACCAGAGATGAGCACAGGACAGTACGGTCCTGGCGTCTTGATGTCCTGTCCTGTATGACACGATGAGATTTTGATTTTTGTCTTGTCCTGCCGCCCGCCATGACCGAGATAGCTAGCAGGACAGGACAGAAAATCCTGTCCTGTGCTCATCTATGGTACTTTTTTTTTGACAATCATATCAAAAAAATGAGCTGCAAAATGACTAATTGTGAGATTTACTTCGTATAGCGAACGTAAAAGTAAAAACTTTCATTCTTAACTTTTTGCCGCCTGTAAAAACGGATTTAATTAGCAAGTTAAAAAGAAGAAATTTTGATATCTTGTCCTACCGCTCGCCAGGACCGGGGTAGCTAGCAGGGCAGGACAGGGCAGAAAATCTTGTACTATGTTCATCTCTGTTCGAAATCTCCATCGTTAGATTTAGATGAGAAATTGTTAAAATACCGAAACATATTATATGTCCTCAAATTTTCAGTCAAATCGTTTGTCCTAAGACTAAAACAGATTTTTGAGTGAGGAGAAGGCTTAAACACTGTTTTCTGAAAATTCTCATCAATTTGATACACTATTTTTCCGATTTTTGAACCAACCATCAAACATAATTTTCAAAACTACGTACTTAAGTCGCATTTTCTGCTGCTTCGATTTTTCTATCTAGAAATTTCAAACTATCAATTTTCGTGTTCTCCCAGGTCAAACAAGGACAATGATAAACGATCGTATACCTAAAAATACGGCGATATGCGATCGTAATACGGAATCAGGTAAACCGGTAAAATATGGTCGTATACTGGCGTATCTTGGACGTATACGAACTCCACATTCGTCGACCTGAACGATATAGAAGGGCACTTCTTTAACGGTTAATTGCAATCTTTATAGGCAATCACATTTGCAAAGAACTTTTGTAGGTTATAGTCAAGCCGACTAGATCGTTTGTTTTTACCATAAAAAAATGTTTTTTTTACGAAAGCTCTCTCTAGATTCCTATGGATGACTTCAGAATTTTATGGCCAGCTGTGAAAAAAGCATTTTTTGAGATATTCTTAGGTATCATATTCTACTGGAAATAAATAAGACGAAGTTTATTTGGTTGAAGGCAATGAAACGGTTTTGTCTGCTCAACTCTTTTAGTTTTTCCATTAATCGAAAACGATTCTAATCAACAGATTCATTCTATTTTTATTCTCTCTTCATAATCTCTGAAAATTAAGCTAAATATGGCTTAACAAAGCTATTATGAAGTAGTTTTTCCAACTTGTTTTCAAAAATAAGCTTGCTTTTTTCTTAATTGATTTTGTATATGAATAATCACATTAATAGATATTATCATGGAGATATATGTGTTTAGATACAATCATCGCGAAGAATATTTATGTGTTCAAATGATAAAAATTCATTTACTATCACGGATTTCGTCCGAAATGATATCGTATTGGATATACAAATCTCCTATTCGTCAGCTTCAAATGACACCATATGAAGCTGACCTTTTTCATCATATAAATATATTTCATTCCAATGGAATTCTTGCAAATAAAAGTCAATTAGATTATTCTCGATTAGAATCAGCATATATAGTACCATTTACTTCATTTTTAAAATTTTATCAATTTATTTGTTCAACTCCTCAATTGATTAATTCAAATCAATTTTGGATATCATCTCATTCATCTTCACTATACAACAATTCAATCACAGGTATTATTAATTTCACATGTCATAGTTCCATAGAAAATAAAAAATGACTATTTATTAACGTATGTGTCATAGAACTTGACTATTCTTTCATACGAAACATGCCATCTTGTTCATAGAAATCTTAGATGCTTTTACTTTGATTTTATGTAATTAATGTAAACATACATTCTTATGATATGTCTCATGTAGATTTTCGTGAACTTGTTTTTTCACGCCTACTACAAAATGCATAAGTAACCCACGCATGATGCTTTTTAAGTAGAATTGGAAGATTTCGACTTTTTCTATTTCATTTTCCAAGAAACAAATCATCCTATAAAATTCATTGTATTAATGGGGAATATTCTAGCTTTGCGCCTATCCTTCTTCCTTTGCAAGACCAATATACTAGCTGTTAGACTAGTGGATCTTTGATTTACAGGTTTTTCTCGAAATTACGCATAAATAATCTTAATGAATCTTGCAGCGAACAGTGAAAGCATGAACGCAATTATTTGTTCAAGTTTTTCGTCTGTTTACTGTCAGTTGTGTATTCAGCTGATATTCCGCTGAAAATTCTCTTGCATTTTCCAAAATATGAGTCTATTTTTAACATAAGAAAAAATTTCTTCAGATAAATCATTACTTTTTAACAGTAGATTTTTTACCGATATGAAGCAAGGTGATCCATTACGGTGCCTGCTCAGTTTGATCATGACGTATTTATGACTAGAATAGAATAACTATATAGCTTCATATTGTGACTGCACATAATTGTAAACACGCCATAGTTTCAACGTAAACAGTTTTTTCGTAATTAAAAATGAGACAGTTATAAATACGTGTATTTTCACTGTCCACAACCATATATTTATCTTATTCAGTTTAAATGAAGATGTTGCCCTGCTGGTGTCGCTCGCTGAATTCGATATTTGTCGTAAACACACGTATTCATTATATATATAGCAATATCTCACAACGGATGTAGAAAATATTGAAAAAAAAAAGAAAACTTTGAGAAATCTATTGAGACCAGAAAAAAGAAAACATTTTAGTCCTTAACAGACATAAGCGGGAAATTCCTAACTAAGAAATCTTTCTTTTTATATAGGAGACTTAATATGAATACTGTCAGAATGTATGGTACTTACTTGTTACAGAGAAACAACTGACAAGAGATATTCAACATACCTTTTTCTATCTTTATCTTTATGACTGAGATAATATATTGATTATCATGAAATGGTATAGCAAAGTGTTTTTTGTTGAATAACACTTAGTAGGTGAAAAAAAGTGAACTTAAAAGACCTGGTTAAATGCGAAATTTTCAGTTCACTTTTCTTTCGTCCATACTTTTTATCAATCAACTACTATCTAGTCTCTGAAAAAACATATATTACATTGAGTCTCCTATGATTCTAAATTACAACACCATTTCCTGAAAATTTTAAAGTCTTAGTCGAAACTCTAGAACTCTTTTAAGTTTTAGAATTGAATAAACTCCATTCTTAAATAGTAAATAGCTAATAAATAATTAATCAATACTTCACGAAATACTAATCCAGTAATCACTGCTTAACTAAAGAATATTCATTTAATTACAAGATAACTGCTTACTACTTATCCGTTAAGTAGTCAACTAATGATTAGAATACTAAATAAATTATTTATAATTTATTCAATAATTAAATAATGTCCTTTATATTCGATTACAATCGAAAGAATCTGATTGTCATTAATTATAAAAGGCGAACTAAGAATTATTGATAAAACTCGAATAGGATAAGTGAGCTCGAACTTTCGAATTTATACGTCAAATCTATTTTTTCGAAGATACTTAATAATCTCGGATCATATCAAGAAAATCAATCAATTAATATATATATATAAACTCATAGCAGTCAAGTAGACATCACAGTGACCAGGAAAAAACATTTTAAATAAGTATAACTGTTTAATAGAACTGTCTATTTACAAAGAAGAAACACTGAATAAGGTCGAAAATCAAGTCAAATAAATAGGTTTTAATAAGAACGATCTATTCTGTATTATTAATTAGTGTCTTAATATAGATTTAGAATAATATAACAATAGAATGTGAGTATTTCATGTATATGACATATTTACCTACCATTCTAAACGAATAGTACATATGACATTAAATAATATCTTAGTACGGTGTGCTCTTTATTGAAACTATTTTAAAGCAAAATATCACTCGAATTCAATTCTATACAATCAGTTATATGTCGAATGCTTCGATCAAGAGAAGCTTTAAACAGACTATTATTATTTGAAAGGATCTACATTCTTTTTCAATAATCTATTGAAATACAGAGCTCGCAGTTTTCTTCCTGTCGAAGTGATCGTTCATATTGAGTTTGTTTAGAAAGAATCTATTATAGACGATTATAAAATACATAGAATTAATCTTAATCAATAATCGATAAACTATTATTAGACACTAATCTTTGATATTTTATTGACAATACATTGAATATATATTATGGATAGACATTTACTATAGATTATCACGAATACAAATAAATAAGTAGCTAAAAAAGTACGCCTTAATCGTGCGCAACAATAATAAAAGAAACGAATGTAAATGTGCAACGATATTGTATTTATTGTCATAAATTCTTCTGATATGATATGCATGAGAATTCTACAAATATTCATCTATATTCGTACTCATATATATTTATGAAAATTCAAGTATATACACATTTTTTTCTCGAGAATTTAAATGATAATACGTAAGAATTTATGCGTTTTCATATAAGAAAAAAAATTTTTTAAAAAAAGTCAATAAATGAAAACAATCGAAGATATAGATATCCATGAATATTCAATTATATCAAATGCTTTTATATTTGTTAAGATGAAAAAAGAAATATTATCTCTTATGTTCAATGTTGAATTATATCTCTATAAAAGATAATAAATGAAAAATAAATTCACCATTAAATTAAATTTCTCAATATTTCATAAAAATATTTAACGATTTTACTGTTTAGTTGATCTAATATTCTTGTTCAGATATTAAATTTAAAGAAAATATTTCTTAAATCATTCAATTAGATTGATAATTAACATTGATATAGCTTTAAAGAATATCTAAAAATAAAAGTAGAATAATGAATATGTGATGAATAAATCTATCTGAGATTATTTGTTTTTTAAGATAAAAATAATATATTATATATCAAAACTATTTATATATTGTTTTAGATAAAGAAAAACAAGTTATTAATTATGTAAAAGAATCATCTGTATGTAGATAAAGATCTTAAATTCATATAATAAAATTATTTTTCTTATTTTTTTTTTAAAAGGTTCTTATTGATAAAAATAGAATTTGTAAAACAAACGAATCGAATAATTCATTTTGTCAACGAATTCTATTTCATGGACAAGAAATATTCTCATATTGTACAACACCATCAATAAATTTCAATTCAATAGATAATAAAACAATATCATGTCTTTCAATAAAAGATATTGTTTCAATTTATTTTCCATGGTCTTCAATTAAACAATTTATTCAAATATGTAGAAATAAACAAATAACCATATATAAACCTGATAAATCAACTAGTTCTGATTCAACACTTCGTTTAATTAATATAGAACAATTAGAAAATAATTGGAATTTTATTCTTAAAGAACTTTTACCAGATAAACAAATATTATCTCAAAAATACAGTAAGATTTTATTCAATAATTATATATATATATTTATTTACTTCGAATATTAATTTAAATATTAACAAATAAATTAAATTAGATTATATCAATAGATTGTCTTTAATTAATAATTAATTATCTTAGAAATGATCAGTTATTAATAATAGTATCTAAAATAATAAGTGACAGATAAAATTTGATGAGTCAATCGAATTTTATTTCTAATAAATAGTCAACTTCGATATATCGAACAAAATCTACTCAAACATCACTTTTTTACAAAAATTTCCAATAATAATAATTGATCAAGTATATATGATCAAAGATGAACATAATTAAACTGTTTAGATTTTGAGAAAGAAATATATAGTTTATTACTTCCTTCCTATAATCAGTTTATATATGGTCTCACAATAGGTTTTTTCCTTTTTTTTCTACTTTATTCTACTAATTCGTATAGAAATTGACTATTTTCGAAACAGAGAAGAATATTAAAGTGTTTTCATATGAATTTCGAAAATTAGCTAGTTTCATCATTAATATGTACCTGATGACATTTACAAAAGCAACTTTTGCATCTCGAATATTTCTAAAAAAATTTTCAAATAATTTTGATGTGTTTTAAATATACAAATGACTTCTTATCTGATAAATATTGAGAAAGTATCGTTTATATATCGATCGATATAATGTTTTAGACTATGACGACAGTTGATTACTAGTCTCTTTTTTCAAGTATTCCATCATGATATATTCTATAGAAATCGATGAATTTTTTAAAATATTGTTAAAACTGACAGAATTCAGTTGTTTTCGATGCATCATGATAAGATCGATCAGTCTGAGTCGCTCCTAATATACCTCCAAGGGAGAAATTGCTCTCAGTTAGATAAGAATTTTTTGTTATGGATACTCTTATAGAAATACTTATTTGGACAATTTATACTAAAAACTGTTTTCTTCTCAATTATTTTCAATAGTTTATGCAAGTTTTGAATAAGTCTTCTCTCTTTAAATAATTATTGGAAACATAAGTGACAAGTCTTCTTTTATTATTTCGAAATAAAAGCAAATAAAACATCTACATATAATATAATAAACAAAGACAAGAACAATATCATAAAGAAACAGAGGAAAACTTTAAATTAGTTTATATTTAATAACGTGGAAAATTTTTGAGTTTGTCTTGATGAAGATAATTCTATGATTGAATTAATTATCTTTAATTAAAATAAGAAATTCATATTTAACAAAAAAAACTGATATTAAAATAAAATTGAATAGGTCAACAATCAGAAAAAGATCAATTATCAATTGAATTAGAAGATATTAATCTTCGATTGAAATCAAATTCAAATTCAAATAATATATTATCTTCAAATGTAAATAATCAACAATCAACAAATACTAGTGATTTATTATCTAATATTAATTCAATTGAAAAGGAAAAAGAAAAATCATTAGAAAAAAACGTTTATCTATTAGAAAATTCTTCTATTCAATCAAATTCTGATTATATTAACAAATATTCCAAAAGAATTCAATTAAATAATAATCAATATCAATTTGAAATTAATTTATTAGAAAATAAACAAGATAAACAACCAATATCAATTATAAATGAAAATTTTTTATCAAATAAAAAAAATTTAAAAAGAAATCAATATAGACGATCAACTATTTCAAATTATTATTCGAAACAAAGAAGAAAACAAAAATTAATTAAAAAAAACTCTTCAAATCATAATCAACAACAAATATGGATGAAGAAATATTCAATTGAATCATTTTCAATTATTATTGATCGATATAAATTACCTTAAATTTCGATTTTTTTATTTTTATTTTTATTTAATATATATTCAGTTCATCTTAACATTAACACATTATTTACTATCTTATTTCTTTCTTGTCTCAATTCATATTTCAATAAAGATAAATATAACATTTTCATCAATCATTTATTTTTCGTTTTTTGTCAATATTTACAAATTGAGAGAGGATACTTATCAAATGTCCAAACAGGCCACAAGCCCTGTCGGCCTGTCTACTTTTTCTTCGAAATCAAAGTTTCATCTGAGAATTTCATGATTTCGTTAGCAAATAGATACAACCTTCATTATTTTTCACAGAATCAGATTTAAGCGAGGTGAATCAGACAAATGCTGAGGAAATTGATTCTAAATCCTTTTTTTCTGTTGCAGATTTACTACTGATTGAATTCTGTTTCTCTGTTGATCTGAATAGTTTGAGTGACATTGTGATCTGGCATGAGAAGTTAAATGAAAATATTTTTTAACAAAACTCAGATATCTTCCACAAGTTGACTAACTTAGCATTGTTTTTATTTTGTCTACGTATCACCAATGTTCAGTTCGTAAACTCTTAATCAGCAATGAAACTTTTCAACGTATGCGGGTATCTGTGAAATTGTCAAAACCCACAGATATCACCAACTCTGAAAAAGAATAGAGTTCAAAATTGATATTATTTACACATCCTTACTGCGTCGCACGTTTTTTGATTCAGCTGAAAGATAGCCTTTGTTTTAGATACAAACAGCCATAATTACTTTCACTTTTACTTATACAAGGCCTTAGAAAATTAAAAATCGGATGATTCAGAAGATATAAATAGTTTTCTTCTATGAAAAATTTTACTATTTATATAATATTATTAATTTTGATCCAAGTTCATGTTGAAAGATATATACCGTAAAATTCTCTTCAAACATTTAATATAATGTTTTATTACAAAGTATGAGAAGAGAAAGCTACACGAAAAATATTCCTCCGAAGCTACCAGCTTTCTAAAGCACGATGTAGCTTTCCTTAACTTTTTGCTAACTGGCGAGAAAAGTATAAGTATATATGAAATAAAATTTTCTGATGCTGTGACGAATGCAGATTTAGTCTTTATATAAGAAATGATGGAAAAAGTTGATTCTAGGTTAAGTAACATCATACATTTTTAATAAATTAGGAATCGATAATGAATTGACTTTGATTTGTTTTTATTGTAATCGATTCGCTACCAATTGACAATTGACAAAAGAATAATGATTTTAGTCATCTAAAATGGATCTTTTCTCACTTTTACATGAATTGTTTTTTGTCTGAAAATGTGTCCGCAGTTTTTACAGGTAGGTATTGTATCTGTCTATTTAATGAAGTTACTTTCTTATTCAGAACGATGACAATTTTCGCTGAGCGACTTTGACTAGAAATCGATCGTTCATTGCAGAAAACTTTATTTAAGTGAACTGAATTCTATGCTTTTTCTGAATACTCTGGCTGACTAGAGGTACCTTTGGAAATGAACAGTCTTTGTTTTACCCTTAGTTTCATATGCTCTCAATTACAAAGAAGCATGATACGCTTGTTTAATTCGAAAGCTGACAATTCTCATGGACTTTTCAATTAGATACTTTTCCATATTGTGATGTAGATTGAATTTAGTGACTAATACGACTTCTTTCTATGGTATTTTTATCAAGATATTGACATGAAAAAAATGCACAGGCGTAGAGAGGCAGGCCTGAGAAAATGACAGACAGACCAGACCGAGGAAATCAGAGAACAGTCACAGACAGGCTAGAAGGGGTGTAACCCTGTCACAGGCAGGCCAGGCCTTCGAAAAGTGGGCCTGTTTGGACCCCTGATACTTATCTTTTTTATTTCTTTTCGACAATTAGCAATGTATCTTGGCAAAATCTACATTGAAAAGATTATCACAAAAAAAAATCTTGCTTTACTTAAATAAAAATAATTTTCTTTGTCACTGATGTCACTCTTCTAAGTTAGCGATACGTCAAATACTTTTGATATGTTACGTAAGATTAATCTTCTTAAGTTAGTTAATAATGAATTTCTATTATCAGTTATATCATTGAGAATATCGGTCAATCTAGAACAGAATTATAATTGATGATATTCATTATTAATGAATAAATATTTTATCATCAAAACTTTGAAATTTCAATTAGTCAAACAAATTCTATTATATTTATTATTATTTTGAAGACAGTTATTATATACTCTCATCATTTAAAGTATTTCGTGTATTATTAATTATAATTCTTATCAATATGACTCGTCAGAAATTGTAAGTGAACAAAAACAGATATATTTTAATTATTCAGAAGAATTTTCAATTATCTGGAAGGTTTTTTTCTAGTTAAATGTTCATTGTATATATATATAATTAATAATCAGTCCTTAAAGATGAAAGAATTTGTTTTGAATAATGTACAAATCGAGAAATGATGATGATAAATTGATTAGTTTTGAAATTATTTTATTCATTTTTCTTAATATATTTAAATGATAATTAAAATAATAAAAGAGAAGTATTTAATCTTAATATATATATATAGATATATTAATAAAATAAAATAAAATAAATATTATTTAAATATTAATATTGTAAAGAAATAAATAATTGTTCTAATGTTGTTTGTTGAATAATAAATGTATCAATATGATAAATATGTTTTATTTTTTCAATTAAATCAAATAATATAGCTGGTGATGAATAATTAACTTGTAAAATAATAGTTGATTCTGTTTTATGATAGATTTTAGTAGGAAATTTTTTTTTAAAATATAAATATAAATAATATAAATAATTATTCTGATTATTCTTATTATTATTTATTTTAATATTAATTGTATAACCATTTCCAAATTTATTTTTTAAATCTTGAATATATCCAAAACATTTAAATTTTCCATTTGACATTATTCCAATACGTGAACATAATAATTCACATTCTTCCATTGAATGTGATGTTAATATCATTGTTATATTATTATTAATACCATATTCAAATATACGACGCATTTGACGACGACTATATGGATCAACACCTTTAAATATAAAGTTTTCGTTTTTTTTTTCTTTTTTTAATTTAACAAAATAATTTAATTAATATAACCTGTTGTTGGTTCATCTATAAATAAAAATAATAATAAGAATAAGAAAGACTTTTGTTTTTTCTGTTATCTATTTATTGTCTGATTAAATAAATATATATGTAATAAAAATATAAATTTATTCATAAAAATTATCTCTGATAGACACGACAGTTTTTGATACTCTTTTAAATAAAAAATTCTAAAAGGAGAAAAAAGTAAAAATATTTATTGTTTTATCTGAAGATAACTTTTTATTTTCAATAGAGAATGACGAAAATCTTTAAAGAATTTTTCTAAAAAAAACGATATGTCGAACAAAAAAATGTTTCTCAATAGTAATAGATTATTATCTTTGATTTATATTTATCTTAATATTATTCATTCGGACAATAAACGGTATGTTTAGTTTCAGAAAGAAAATCTTAAACAATCTTCTTTTATTTAATAATTAAATCTTAATCAAATTAAAATTCATAAATTAGTCTTTTCAATAAAAACTAAATAAATCTTTTTCATTTATTTATATTGAATATTTGCTTTTTTTTCTTAAAGAATTTTTATCGAAAATTTTTCATAAAACTTTTTCTTTGTTCGATTTGAAAATTTGAATTTGAATTAATGAAAATATTTTCTTTATCTTATTATTATATGTCGAAGAAATAATTTATAAAATGACACAAAATTAAACAAAAATTTTTCTTCTCGAACTCATATTTTTATTTATATATATTTAATTGAATATATTATATTTATCAATATTGACATGTTTATTATTGAGATTAGTTTATTTTATTTTTTTTTCAAATAATTAATATTAATTCTAGTTTTTATTAAAAAAATATTTTAAATAGATATTTATCGATTGAATTCTATTTGATTACATATGATAAAAAACAATCTCTCTTATCTATTTATCAGAGATGTCCATCGCGGCAGCGCCGCGATGACGGTGGCGGTGGCGGCAGCGGCAGGTTTTTTAAAAAATCACTGCGGCAGCGGCGCAGCAGCGGCAGGATTTTTTTGGGGAACATTGAAAAACTGCATGAATTTAATAGAATTTCAGGGTTTACAAATGAAATACCCCTAGACTGACTGAATCTGATGGACTAGTACGAATATCTCTGGTCAAATATAGTCGCAGCAGTGAAATTAGAAACACTTTTTTGTAAATCGCCGCGGCGGCGGCACGTTTATTTTATAATTCATCGCGGCAGCGGCGCGGCAACATTTTTTTATAAACCGTCGCGACGCGGCTGCGGTGCGGCAGCTTTTTTTTCTAAGTCCGCGGCGAGGCAGCGGCAGATTTTCAGCCGCGATGGACATCTCTGCTATCTATATATATAATTGATCTTATTCTGAATAAAAAAAACAGTAGACAAACCGAGAAGAATAATATTTGGTGGTCCAAGAAAAGCAAGAGCAGCATGCATTCTTCTTCGAGTTCCCCCACTTAATTCTTTAACATATTGTTTATTAAATGAGTCAAGTAAAAATAAATTTGAAATAATATCAATTGTTTGTTTAAGATAATAATTCGATATTCCACGTAAACGTCCAAATAAATAAAAATAATCTTCTACTGTTAATTTATCTTGAATACAATCATATTGTGGACAATATCCAATATCTCGATTTAATCGACAATATTTATTTGTTGACTTTTCTCCATATATATATATTGAACCATTTGTAGCCATTTCTTCACCAACAATTATTTTAAATAATGATGTTTTACCTAGTTTTTTTTTCAAAAATAAAATCAATAAATAAATAATTATTTATTTATTTAATAATGCTTATAAATAAAAAAAAAAAAACTAATACCAGCTCCATTAAATCCAAGAAGACCAAAACATTCTCCTTGTTGAATAGAACAATAAAGATGATTAATAGATAAATATTGTTGATAAGGATATTTTTTAACAATATCATATAAAACAATTGGATATAATGAGAAATTTTTATTTGATATTAATTTAATTCTTTCTTCTAAAACATCATCGTCATCATCATCATCATTATCATTATCATTATCATCATCAATTTCTTCTTCTTCTTCTTCTTCTTCGTCTTGTTGATTTAAATAATTATTTTGTTTATATATTAATTTATTTATTTTATCATTTAATATATTTGTATCAATTAATAATAAAATAAAAAATAATAATATTATTTGAATTAAAAAAATAAATAAATATTTAATAAAATCATTATTATTTATTTCTTGATTAAATCCCATTTTTGATAATATATATTTATCATTTTCAATTAATTTACATAGATTTTTTGATGATTTTAATAATAATATTGATATTAAACGTTTTCCATTTAATGAAGGAAATATTATATTTATTAACCAATAAATTATATTTAATTTAACTGAATATTTCATCATTATCATTATTAATATACGAATTATATCAAATACTTCAATTAATATTAATAAGAATAATATAAATAAACCAGCAATTAAATCATTTTTCATTATTTCTAAACAAATATTCGAAATATATTTTCTTATTTAATTAATCAATTTAAAATAATATTTATATTATATTAAATAAATAACAAAAATTTACTAATTAAATAATTTATCAATACTTTATTCGATTTTATCATTAATAATATTATTTAATTAATTCATTTTAATTAATATTTAATAGAACTAAATAGATTTATTTAGAACAATTTACTTTTATTGACGGTTTTTTTTTCAAAAAAAAACACTAAAATAAACTATAAATTATTTTTAAATAAATATTTATTTTAATCATCCAATTAAATCATTTTTTTAATCGAAATAACTATTATCAATTAATTAAATTAAACATTTATTTAAATCAAACTGTTCAAATATATTTATATAATTAACTCATTTCAATAAGAAAAAAGAAAAACAAAAAATTTTTTTTGGTAAAATTCGAATGTATTAACTGAAATAGAATTTTTTTTTTCACAATTTATTTTATTTTATTTTATTTATGAATAAATTCTATTCGAACGACATAAAAACTATTATATGAAAGACATATTTATTTAAAAAACAAAAAAAAACCTTCATAGAAAAATCCATTTCATTTATCTGAATCATCTATCTATATATTATCTTTAGTACGTATCTATCTCTTACAGGGATAAATATCAAAGATTAAAGGTTAACTTTTCCTACTACCCATGGAAAATTTTTTTTCAAAAAACCGCTCAAAACCGCGGTTTTACTAGAGGGAACCGCGGCTGATGACGGTTTTCTGAAACCGCGTTGCTCGTATTCAGGACCGCGGTTCTAAATACTGCTGTATTCAACAGTCTAAAAAATTGCGATCTAGTTATTGCAAACCGCGGTATTGCATAATCCGGCATTCAACGGTTTCAAAAACCGCGGTATAGTCATTAGTAATCGTGATGGCAAATACCGCGATATTGAGTAGTTTCAAAAACCGCGGTTTTCAGCTGAAGAGCCGCGGTATGTCTGGTGCTTATACCATCATAATAAAATGTATAAGGACGAAGAGGATGTCGTGCCCTGCTATTTTCATGAAATTCTTAAATAAGCTTTCTTATTCTATCTCTCACTACAATGTAACTTTGTGGTAATGAAACTTCTAAAAGTTCATTACACTGCCCCTCGAAGGGCGGCTCATCTGAACGTTTTCGAAAGTTCAGGTGAGTCTGGCCATACCTGAGTTAGGTATGGTTACGAAAACCGCGGTATATAGCGGTCCAACAAACCGCGGTTTCCAGCGATTCAGAAAACCGCGAATGTCAGACCTTTTATGCGGTTTTTCAAAACCGTCAAAAACTGCGGTATTTGTACACCGCGATCATTACCGTTGAAATAAACCGCGAAAGTCAGGTGTTTTATGCGGTTTTGAATACCGGTGAAACCCGCGGTGTGAAATTACCGCGGTTCTTGACGGTTTTGAAATACCGCATAAAAGGTCTGACTTTCGCGGTTTCGAAAAGCGTTGATTACCGCAGTTTGTGAAATCGCGGTTTCGAGCGGTTTTTCACAAAAAAATTTTCCATGGGTAGTCTTCAGTTAATTATCTTGAAAATCTATCGTTATCTTAAAATCTTAAGCTAGATCGATTTATTTCCTAGTAAAATGAAATATATATATTTGAAAGAATGTTTCATAATGAATATATTCTAATGGATTATTTATAAGTAATAATGAAAAATAAAAATAAAAAAAAAGAACAAACTTGTTATAAGATAAATAAAAGGTAATGTTGAAGCTGATATAATAAAAGTAATTGAATAAAAAAAAAATTTAATTTTAATATTATTATAATAAATAATTTGTTGAAATTTGTTTTGATTAAATTGATTAAAATGATCATTTAATGAATAAATAAATAAAAGATAAAATGAATAAATAATTGTTAAAAAAAAATCTAAAAAAAATCTCGATGTCCAATAAATAATTGGATGTAAACCAAATGTTTTCATTAATTTATTTAATTGTTTATCTTCATTAATAATTAATATTGTTATATAAAAAAAAATAAAATAATATGTTAATAAATATATTTCTGTTAATTGACCTGGTAATATTCCATAATAACAACTAAATAATGATAAATTTTCAATAAATAATAAAAATGATTTTTTATCATATTCATTTATATTATATTCAACAAATTTAAAATACGTTTTAATAAAACATTTTTCTTGACAAATATAATCAGAAATTAAATTAAATGGTTCATAACCAATAATTAAATGTGATGTTAATATTGATATTATTTCATTTTTTTCAAATAATAAACCAATATATTCATTTGAATATGAAAATGAATCAGATTTACGACGCACTAAAATTTATTTTATATTATTTTCTTTTTGCTTTGAAAAATTTCATTGAAATAGTAAAATTATTTCTATCTATATTAAATTATTTTCCTTAATAAAAGATAAATATAAATAATATATTATTAATTTAGAAAAAAAAAAAAAAAGCCACTAGTATAATAATATGTTCTTACTCCAATAGAAATAATCAAGTTGTTGAATATTTGTTATATTAGTTAATTTATAAATATTGGTTAATGGTGAATATTTAATTATTCTAGATGATATATAATTAAATAAATCTTGATTATATTTATTATTTGAATTAATTCCAATAAATAAATTATGTTGTTTTAAATGAGACCAATTATCAATATCAATTATAATTGTTTTATATTCTCTTTTTTTATTAAGAATTAATTTAAATAAAAATGGAATTATTAATATAAATAATATAAATATGGATTTTCTATATATAATACGAATTGATTTAATAAATAAACCTTCATATTGACTTAAATAATAATCATAACCTTGTTCAATTAATATTTTATTAAATATTTTAAAACAATTATTTTCAATAAAATCTTCATTTTCTTCAATTAATTCACTATTTTTATATTGATCATTTGTTATACGAAGAAATACTTCATCTATTATATTAATAAAAAAAGTTAATTTAATAAATAAAAAACTAAAACTGAATAAAAAACCTAATGTTGTATTTGATAATCCATAATTTAAAATAATTTTATTTTCTTTAAGATTTTCAAGTTGATATAAAAGTTGAATAAATAAATTCGATGATTGTTGATTTGTTTGAATAATTAATTGATTATTTGATTCAATTTCAATTGTTGAATTGTTTAAATATTTATTAATTAAATCAAATAAATAAATATGATATTGATCATTATCTGTATTTAATATTAATTTATATCCACTACCATACTTTTTTTTTAATTCACTTGATTTATCATTAGCACATAGATTTCCATTAGATAATATTATTATTCTATCAGATAATGCATCTGCTTCTTCCATTATATGTGTTGACAATAATATTGTACGATTTTCTTTCATTGAATTAATCCAATTCCTCAATAAGATTTTTATTTTTTAACATTTTTTTTGAAAAAAAACAAAATATAATAATTACCATAAATGACGACGATTTATTGGATCAAGACCACTTGATGGTTCATCTATTGTTTATTTAATTAAAATAAATAATATATTACAGAAGAAATATATTGTTTACCAAGTAAAACAAAAATTGTTTCTCCAATAAATGCTAAGGCTATTGATAAACGTCTTTTCATACCAGCAGATAAATGTTTACAAAACATATTTCGATCATTTGTTAAATTAACTGATTCAAGAAGATTTGAACAAATATTTCTTTTATTATATGAATAACCTTGACATTTTTTTTTGTTTTATTTAATTATTAAATAAATAAATTCAATTTAACAAAATAAAAACAAAGAAAAAAAGAACAAACCTCGTGCTATTGCATAAAATTCAATTTGTTCTTCAACAGTTAATAAATCAAATAAAATATCATCTGTTTTTAACAATGTTTTTTTTTAATTTAATTATAAACAAAAAAGAAAAACAAAAACGAATAAAAAGATAGAATAAATACATACATTGTGGACAATATGATATTATTTTACGTATAGAATCCATATTATATCTTGTATCATAATTACAGATTTTAATTGATCCATCCGTTTGTTCAATTATTCCACAAAGCATATTCATTATTGTTGTTTTACCTACAATTTACATTTTACATTTTATTATTTATTTATATTAAAAAATAAAAACAAAAGAACAACAATTTATTTTATAATCATTTTTCCGTTTAGATTTTATTTGTTAACAATGATATATATATATATATCAGGGGTCGCAGCGGTCTAGTATGCAAAATCAGAAATCAGGACAGGAATTTTCAAGAAAAAAATCAGGATTTGATCGAATAAATCAGGATTCTCAAAACATAGGCATCATTCATCGAAAGTGCACATCATTTCGCAATAGGAATTACGAAATGTCAAATGGCACTCATTCTCTACTCTATTCCAGCAGTTGACAATATCCTTTAAATGAGAAATCGTACCATTTCCCACAGGAAATCGGTACCCCATAGAATTTTAAGAGAAAATCGTTCTCCCATTGCCTCAGTGTTTCGAAAGCATAACAATCACGTAACATAGCTAGCTTAACTCTTAGTGAAACAATTAAACAAAGCGTGAAATAACAAAACAAAAACGCTGAAACATTGTGATGATTTCCAGCTCGTCGATAGGCAATCGTAAAATCAACATATATTTCGTTCTAGAAGGTCGAGTGTCAACAGAAATCGTCAATTCCAAGCAGACATTGTTGGAACATCGTCATGATGTCCCAACGAAGTTCTCTGGACTAGACTAGAATAACCCTAAGTTGGCTCGCTTGTCTGAGCCTTTAGGACTGAGTTATGACCACTTTATTGGATTTTAGTCCTATGAGGCCAGGTTATCTGCAACAGCAAATATGCGCATTTCGACCTGAAATTTTGTCTATAAATAAATCTAATGTCCACTAAGATACCTTAAAAGTTTCAGACAGAACGAATGCATCCTTCATCCAAATATTCCGATTTTTGTGAATTTTTGTCTGAGAAATAGATGGTTTTTTGAAAACTAAATATCTCAAGGATGCATTCGTTTTGTCTCAACCTCTTAAGGTATCCTCGTGGCCATTAGATTTATTTATAGACAAAATTTCAGGGCGAAATCCACATATTTGCTGTTCCAGATAACCTAGTGTCATAAGTCCAGAATTCATGATAAATCAAGCCCAAATGGCCAGGCAAGCGAGTCAACTTAAGGTTATTCTAGTCCAGAGGTCCCAAGATATAGCCAAAATATCAGGTCAAAAGCAAGGGGATATCTTGAGAAGTTCATTCGTGAGATTCGTCGACGGCAATCCAACGAAGAGAGTTGATTATTCATCGGACTCTCGACTTCCAGATCTATTAACTAACTAACTTGTGCCTGTCTTTTCTTTTTTTTTCTTACTGAATAATGATACAAGATTTTGTATGAATCTTGTAAAAAAAAAAAAAAAAGACGAATTTTTTCATATATTCACTGACATTTTTCAGTTCATAAAGGACTTTATCTATTCTTCAAACAAGATGAACAACGCGATCATTGAAAAAATAGTATTTTCATCAATTCAAGACAGAACTTCTGAAACGCGTCCACTGAGACTAAACCGAAATTTCCTAAAGAAATTATTTAGTTTCGAAAAGCACCAAAAATCAGAAAATCAGGATCTTGTATCAAAATCAGGATGAATCATGACGACTACGAAAAATAAGGAAAAAATCAGGAAATCAAGACCTCTGCGAGACCTGATATATATATAAATATTGTTTGTCAAAAAAAATATTATTGAACTATGAATCTATCTATTTTTTTCAAAAATAAATTTTATTTATCTTCGAGAGTTACATTAATTATATTATTAACATTGTTGAACATTTATTTATCTCACTGTTATGATGTTTTTTGCTTTCATTTATATTAATTATTATTTATAGAATTAAATAATATTGACATGAAATAAATCAATAAGAAGAAAGAAAATTCAAGAATTTTAATTATTATTAATTATTTTTCACTGATGAAACAACTTGAATGAATAAATTTATTGTTCGTAGAAAAAGAATATACAAGTGAAATAAAATGAATTTAAATCGGACTGATTAAACTAATCAAATCGGAATTGAATATATATTACAATAATATATTCACTTATTATAGTTGACTCAATCAAACATATTTATCAAATGACTAATCATCTTAAATTAATTCTAGCCAAATAATACTTTTCATTGATAATAAAATCGTCATCCAACTTAAATACTATTATTTATTTTTATTTATTCAAAATAAATAATATCGACTATTTAGAAATAAACTTATATCGAATTATTTATCATTATGATCATCGATCAATATTCTTCTATCAATAGTTAATCATCGCATTGTTATCAATAGAGAACTGCAAAATGGTCCCGATCCCCGTCCCGCAGGACCAATTTCGGGACCAAAAATTATTTTTTTACGGAATCGGTACCGGAAACGGGACTGAAACCATTTTTTAGCTTGTCCCAAAAAATTATTTTGAATAAAAAAAGAACTCAATTGTCTTTTCAAGTCGATTGATGATCAATAATGTCTTTTATTATTTCACAAAAAAAAAAACAAAAACCGATGTTTTCAAATATCTATTAATATTAACATGTTTATAATATTGACATATAGACAGATACTAGACTATTTAGACGTTTTATAAGAGCAGTATTAGAAATATATACATAACACGGCGCACACTTATGTCTGACACTGTGACAGGTTTATTAAAAGAAAATTTTTATGTTCGCTATTTAAAAAAAACGGGACCGGGACTAAAAAACAATATTGGCCGGGACCGGAACCAAAAAACGTGGTCTCGCAGTTCCCTATTTATCAATCAATTATCAAATATTTACATATCTGTTCATAGAATTCTATCTAGCATAACCATTAGTGACTAACATTTATCTTACATTTTCACATATATTTAACGTAACATATTTATTTTGTTTTCAATGAAATAGAATAATTCATTAATGAATTCATAGGATATAATGACAATTTTGGCTATTTTGAAAAAATAATACAAACTGGAAGAGTTCTTATCATTGTCATAAATCGTTTGAAGTTCATCAAAGATTATATCGATTAGTTTTCGGACATATTATCATGAGAAAAACTGAATAAATATATCCGAAGGAATGCATGATTGATTAACTGACTGCATTCAATTTATTTTTAAATCCACCGATGAAAGATTAAACCATCTTAGAATATATCACATTGATCATTAATTATTCAAAAGAAAAATTCTTTATTAAGATCTTTATTAAATCATATGTTTTATATATATATATATATATATATGGACTAACATTCATTCGTTATATTTGAATGTAATTCTCTATCAGTATAGGTTTTTAAAGTGAATTGTTTTTGCATAGGTTTATGTTAAATAGTCTGCTCTTTCACATGGTTATTAATTAATTAAGAAGTAATTAGCCTATATATTGATAAATGAATGCGGAAAAAAGTTGAAAAGTTTATGATAGACTCTAGAGTATGAACCGCACATATGATCAAATTTTCAGCGAGATCAGACTTCAAAAAGTTCCTTCGAAAAACTCGACCTTTCAGAGCCTTTCAACAGAGTTGAAACAAAAACGTTTGTCTTCGTATTATTCAAAGGACTCCTACCATTGACATGAGCTCCTTGGAATCAATTTCGAACTTTTTAGTTTGTTACCAGAGCATTTGATCGGTAGTGAAGTCGTACTCAGTCACATTCCTAACGCGGAATAAATTTTATTTTTTTGAAAAAAGCTAGACATGCTCAAAATATTTTTACATCGGAATTTAGTAGCCTTAGAAGTCATGTCTACTATCGCGTATTAAGTTTTCGGCGATTGTGCAACACTTGGAAAGTTTTAAAAACTCAAAGTATATCAAGTGAGAGTTGATGTCCTTTTTGGGTATCATGTCGCTAACGCTAGTTTTTCCTTAATAACTTCTCTGAACAATTAAATTTTAGAGTGTTGATTTTTTCATGGCATCTAGGATAAATAGAGACTCGTATAACATGCAAAAATCATACCTAAACCAGCGGATAATTCTGAGATATGCATATTCCAAGTTTACGATGTCACGTCACTAATGAATAATTTAGCCCATATATATATATATGTTTAGTTTTTGATTAGACCCTATCCTTTGACATATATAAAAAGATAAGGAAGTTTTTGACAATTTTGAAATTCTCGCAATGAATATTCTTAAATATTTTACTTCGTCATTTGTTTTTTTTTTGATCGTTGCAGTTAGACGATTAAAATCACTCTTTATTTTTTAAACTTAGCGCTGATAGATAAAAACCTAATCCTATTTTGAAATCAAAAACAAGATTTATTTCGAGAAGAAAATTTTCTATTGAATGAAGCTAGAAGAATGTTTTCAACGTGTTGAAAAACGATAAAAAAAAACCGGAAAAAAAAGATAAATAGATATTGACTGGTTTATTATGAAAAAATCATTATAATCATCTGAATAATATCTCAAGTCTATTTCTATAGTTAACTCGTGTAGAGTTTATCTTTGTTTGATTGTTTGTTTTTTCTTTTTGTTATTTATTGTTAAGAAATTACTAAATATATGTTTTTTCTTCTAATTAATGTATACATATTGAAGATGTCTTTTAGTTTTTCATTATTCTATCAAACTGATATAGTTTTAAAAAAATTTCACACATTTATTTATTTCGTTTCATTAAATATGTAAATTATTGTTAAAGAGACTGAAAAACAAAATATGTTTTTATAATGATTAACATTTATTAAAAATGTTCTCAAATAAAATAATTAATTTAATTTATATATTTAAATCATTCTATTAAATCAATGATAAATATTCGTTTAAAATGATTGATTTACCAAAATAAATCATTTCTTATTTGGGAATATTTAAAAAAAAAATGTTAACTCTACTTAATAATAGATCTCAAATGTTGAGAGAACTCTTAACAAGAATTTTTTTTTTCTTTTTTGAAACTCAAACAAAAAAAAACAAAAACCTCTAAAACGAATTGTAATTATAAACAATTGTTTTCAAAGGAAAATAAAAAAGTAACAAACCAGCTCCATTATGTCCAATAAGAGTAGTTATTTGATTCTGATATAAATTGAATGATATATTGTTAATAACAGTTCGATTTGTTTGTGGAAAATCTTTTCGAATTGATTCAACTTGAACAATAATAATATTTTCATTATCGGAATATTTATATGATAAATATTTTAAATTTTGATCAGAGATATTTTTATTTAATAATATTGATTTCCAATATTCAATTGAAAATGGAAAATTCCATGATAAACCAATTCCATATTCACCTTAATAAACACACACAAAATAATCTCTTTTCATATACTTTGGTTAGTTTTAATTTCGATTTTTTTTGTTTTTATATTTAAAATGGAATAAAATTACCAGGAAATATTTTTTCAAAATACCAAATAAGAAACCAACAAAAATGAATTGATAAAATAATAAAAAGTAAAATAATTGATAAAAAAGGTGTCCATCGATAGAGTTTTTTATTTAAATTAACATAAATCATTGTTCTTTCATATTGAAATAAATAACGAAGAATATAAATTAAAGAAAAAAATGGATTTATACATAATATTATTTGATATATATATGAAAGATTTTCATATAACAATATAAATATAATTATCCATTGAATTATTGTTATGAAAAATAAACGAGTAAAAGAATTAAATAATTGTCCCATTAATATTGAATATGATATTAATTGAATATTTAATATCATAAATAATAAGAATAATATTAATGATGAGACATATTCAAATACAATCCATCCATATATTGACATTTTCCATATTACTTTAAATATATACATATATTTATTTATTATCTTTTATCAATATATTCAATTAATTAACTATTATTTAAAGTTCGAAAAATTATTTTATCTTTCTCTGAATAGATAAATAAATTAAAAATTTGTCAATATCTTCTAATATATTCCTTATAACTCCGCTATGCCGGTGCCAAGCCCGGACTCATTCTTCTGCATGAGGAGGAGGAGAAGGAGGCAATATCTGCCAACACGCATTGGACCAGCGTGGCAGACTACGGTCCAAACCTTCAATGAATTCCAATTACAAGAAACGGCCCTCATTACCCGGAGGCCTGATAGTTACTACCTACGGCAGAGGGTGCTAAGAATCACCGGGCTCAAACAAGCTGCCTTCAAAATTTGAACATTGGAACGCTCAATGTTAGAACCCTCCGAGGTGACGGAAAGTTAGAAGAACTACTATTAGAACTGAAGAACATTAAATGGGACATAATTGGACTATGTGAAATTCGACGAAAAGATGAAAGACTACTTGACATCAAACATGGCCACCAACTATATTATCGTGGAGCATCAGACGGCAGAAATAGCGGTGTTGACTTCATCATCAACAAAAAAATAAAAAATAACATTACCAGCTTTAATAGTCTCTCCGATAGAGTAGCTAGTCTGACAAACAAATTATCAAAACGCTACACTCTACAAATCATACAAGTATATGCTCCAAAAAGCAGCTACAGCGACCAAGAAGTAGAAGATTTTTATGAGCTGGTAACACAACAGCTCAACAAACACAACCACCACTTTAAAATTGTTATGGGTGATTTCAACGCAAAGGTTGGAGAACAGCAACAATGTGAAACAATGATTGGACCACATGGGTTTGGTACAAGAAATGAACGTGAAGCAAGACTAGTGGAATTTGCGGAAAAAGAACATCTTTCGGTGATCAATACACACTTCAAGAAAAAACCTTGCCGAAAGTGGACGTGGAAAAGCCCAAAGGGTACGACCAGCGAAATCGACTACATCCTATCAAACAATAGGACGATTTTCACCGACTGCTCAGTCATCAATCGTTTCAATATCGGCAGCGACCATCGACTCATACGGACCACCTTAAGAATCAATATACAAAAAGAACGAAATAAGTTAATGTTCAATACAATAACATCCATCGATTACAAAAAAACTTGAAGCACAGAAAAATGAATTCCAACTAAAGTTATCCAATCGTTTCAGCCTACTCGAACAACTGCCAAAGAAACTGGAGGTACAAAGAAACACAATCGACACAACAAGATAACAGGAGAGACGAAACAACTGATGTGTAAACGACGAGAATGGAAACACAACAAATCAACAAGAAACAACATCGAATATGTCGAACTACGCAAGACTATTAGGAAACGAGTGAAAAAAGAGATCCGACAATTCAATTGCCATCTGATACAAACAACAATTGAGAATAACAAAAGTCTCAAAAAATGAAACAGAAACTTATGACAGGTAAGAAACGCCTATTCCAGATTCAAAAAGAAGATGGTTCAACAACGTCGAACCAACAAGAAATTCTAAAACGAGTCCAGGAGTTTTATTCAACACTATATGATGACAACATCGAACAAGTAGCAGCTGAAAACAGCGAAAAGAACGATCCCCCCAACATACTTCCAGCTGAAGTGCGAAAAGCGATTCAAAGCCTGAAGAATGGCAAAGCGGCTGGTCAAGATGGAATAACAGGAGAAATCCTCAAACTGTGCGGCAATGAGACCCATAAAGCTCTGGCTGATTTATTTACTCAATGTCTAAAGCAAAGAAACATATCAACATCATGGAAAGATGCCGAGATCATCATACTCCACAAAAAAAGGAGATCAACCAGATTTGCAAAACTACCGACCAATAAGCTTCCTTTCGATCATTTACAAGCTATTTACACGGATCATTGTCAAAAGACTCGAAACAATACTCGACTTTGCCCAAACGAAAGAACAAGCAGGCTTTAGAAGCGAATATAGCACTATGGGTAATATACAGGTTGTGTGACAAGTCATTGAACGATGTAATGAATACGAGATGCCGTTGTGTCTCGCCTTCATAGATTTCGAAAAAGCATTCGATAGTATCAAGCTGAGTGCGATATTCGAAGTACTACAACGACAAGGTACTGAAGAACCATATATTAACTTGCTGAAATCAATCTACATGGATGCAACAGCCACTATACATATAAATGACGACTCGACTACGATCAAGGTTAAAAAAGGTGTGCGACAAGGTGATACGATCTCGCCCAAGTTGTTTTCGGCCGGTCTAGAGGAAATATTCAAACAGCTAGATTGGTCAGAAACAGGAATAAAAATCAATGGCCAATACTTTAGCCACTTACGGTTCGCCGACAACATTGTCATATTCTCCGATAGTGCTGAAAACCTCCAAAGACGAATAAAAGAACTAAACGAAAGCAGCAAATTATCAGGTCTGAAGATGAACATGAAGAAGACAGAAGTTATGTTCAACATCCATTCGATACCACAACCCATACAAATCGATAATCATCAACTGGAACAGGTCGACAACTACATCTATCTCGGTCGAATGGTTACAATGGACGGCAACATCATGATAGAAATTTTAAATCGTACCAAGCTTGGTTGGAGAGCGTTTGGTAAAATGAACACTATATTCAAAAGCAATATGCCTGTTTGTCTGAAAAGAAAAGTGTTCGATCAATGCATACTTCCAGTGCTAACATACGGTTGTGAAACATGGACACTAACCGCAAAAGCTATTCAAAAACTGAAGGTCACCCAAAGAAGCATGGAAAGACAAATGCTCAATATATCCCGTCGCGACAAGAAAAGAAACACACGGATTCGACAACAAACCAAAATATGCGACATAATGAGAAGAGTCGCCTCACGCAAATGGCAATGGACTGGCCACGTCGTCAGAAGATCAGACCAACGTTGGACATCAGAAATCCTGAACTGGATACCAAGAAATCATAAAAGACCCGGAAAACGACCTAAGAAACGATGGGTAGACGACATAGTTAAATACAAGGGCAATAACTGGCAGCAATTAGCGGCTGATCGAAATAATTGGAAAGAAGCTGAAGAGGCCTTCATCCTGCAGTGGATCGATACAGGCTGATGATGATGATGATATTCCTTATAAATATAAATTGATCTTTAATTCGATATTCTTAATAAGAATTAATTTAGAAATTTTCAAATATAAAATTTATTATTAAAACGATCAAGAATAATATGAAAAAAACGTGTGTATGTGTGTGTGTGTGTTTTGTTATTTAAAAAATTGTTAAATAAATCTAACCTGTTATTGAATAAGTAATAAATGTAAGTATAATTAAATATCTTATAGCCCATGCTAAATAATTAATTAATGGTTGAATATGAATTATTTTAAGAATTTCTTTAACTTTTTGATTATTTTCATTAATAATTGAATTATTAATAATAAAATAAAAAAAAAGAAATATTATTGATAATAATATTTCCATTAATATAAATGACCATCGTGTTGGAATTGTTTTATGATGACGATATGATGTACAACTTATACGACGATAATTTAATGAATTAATTATTGAAAAATCTTCATCTAACATTATATTTAATACAATTGAATCAATAAACATTTTAATATATATAAATGAAGGATAAGAATTTTTAAATAAATCCTATTTAAATAGAAAAACAAATAATTAACATTAATAAACGAAACAAAAAAAAAACAGTAAATAGTTTAAATACAATTTGTTCAGCTGGATGTTGATGTCGTTGGAAAAAAGAATAATCAATTTTATATAATAATTTTTGTTTAAATTTATTATATTCTGGCATTTTAATAATAATAAAATATGAAAAAATCTTGCTAGTATATTCTTTAATATCAATAATTATATTAAAACAATTTTGATAATTAATTAATAAATAATCATTTTTTTTATATTCTTCTGATAAATAAATCCAATCAATTATATTTGTTTTATTATATAATAAATGATCATCTTCTTTTAATTTATATTTAATATTATTTATTAATTTATTATATAAATAATAATCATTATCATTATTTGATTTATTTAAATAACGTATTATTATATTTATTTTCGAATATTTATTTATAAATAAATCATTTAATGAATTATTTTCAAATAAAATATTTTTCTTTTTTTCATTATTTAAATCATTTATATATGGATTAAGAGAACATTTATCGTATTGATTTAAATCAAATAATGAATTTTTTTCTATTATATTTCTATTATTATTATCATTATTAAATAAATAATGAGATAATAAACAAATTATTATAAATATAATTAATGGAAATAATAATTCAAATAATATTAATGGAATACAAGAACAAATTCGTTGACGATATGTATACCTTAATTATATTAAATTATTTTATTTTATTTTATTTTATTTTAATTTAAATCTAACCGAATTGTTCGTTTTAATAAAAGAATTAATTTTTCCAATGATGAACTTGACTTTTTTTCATTTATTTCAATTGAACCATTTTCAAATGACATTTTTCTTTTTTCTTTTTTTTTGATTAACCGCCATTTTACTTTTTTCTTTCAACTCAAAATTTTAACAAAAAAAACACTATCTTATCAAACTATGAAAATCTTCAAAAATTTTCCTTTGATGATTTACGTAACGATTTATTTTCATATTATAATTGACCATAGACTAACCAGAGACATTAATCAACTCAATATCGATATATGTTAATAGATAGTATAATAAGATTATATTGATTAAACAATAGTCTAGTTTCTAGTTAGATCACTTGTTTTTTTTGTTTCTTTTATCATAAGATAAAAATTTTAACTCAAATCAATTTAGTTGAATTGATACAAACAACAAAACAAATATAATTAATGAAAATTGACATAAATTAAATATTAATTTCGAAATGATAAAATTCAAATAAATAATATTGTTTATTTATTTTAAAGAATTCTTATTTTAGATTTAAAACAATGATCAATATACATTTATATTATTGATATTATACGATATAATAAATAAAGTTTTGTTCTGTTTTGTTTTTTATTTTTATTGTTAAATAATGACCTCTTTTGATAATAAAATAAAATATATCAATCCATTATTTACCAAACGATATTTCTCTGAAGAAATATCTTCAAGTTACAATAAAATAATATAAATAAATCGATCGATGTCGACTGGTGCTCGAATATTTTTTGTTGGATCATTAGTTCTAACAGGATTAACTGTATTTACTGTTAATTATTATATTGATGAAGAAAAAAAAGTAGTTATTTTATTTGTTTGTTTGTTTTTTCTTAGAAATTAATTTAAAAATAAAACTAAAAACTAATTCCTTTTGTTTTTGTTTCAAAGAGAAAACGATCAAATATATACGTTGATATATCTCGTCGAGAAGAACGACATAAATCAAATATGGAACAATATGAAAAACAATTAAAAATTCAAGAAAAACTTCTTAGCAGAGATAAATAATCTTCTTTCCTTTTTTCTTATTGTTCTTCTTCAGTTTTTTTTCAAAATTTTTATTTCTTAGCAACAAAAAGAAAAAAAAATCCAATGAAGAGATTTATTTCTATTTATATATACAAAAACTATTTTGAAGATATTTCTATTTTAATATTTAGAAATTTAATTTTAGTTTTCATCAATTTCATTCTATATATATATATATATTTGAAATATTTAATTAATTATATTTAAAAAATGAACAAGTTTTTATGAAAACAAAATCGAATATTTCATTTATGGATAATAAAATTTAAAAACAAAAACAGAAAAACAGAAATTAAATTAATTCATTTAAATCTCGAACTATAATTCGAATAATACCTATAATTAAATAAATCTTTTTTTTATAAAACAATATTGAGGATATTAAATTAATTAGAATCGAATTATATTAATTAACATATCAGTTAAGATTATGTTTAACACAGTCAACTACGCAGAGGTACACTAAAGTAGTTGAAGAGCTACTGGATTTTATAATAGAGAAGGTTTGAGAAAATTTTCTTTCTTTATCAGGTGAGTAGAGATAGTGAAGCTCTAGTTTTCTATGCTATTTCATCTCTATTCAACTGCTATCGTAATAGTTAAATTTCGATAAGAACTCTTTTTTCTATAAAACTTCACGAACGAGTGAGGCACAATTCAATATCTTAATCAATTAATACGCTCTATTGAAAAGCAAAGTATACGACAAGATGCAGCGTGAAAATCTCTACAATCTACAAAGTAAAGCTTATTTTAATTGTGTACTTCTCGTCAAAAAAATAACAAAATTCTGGCCAACTAGTTTTTCGCTGTTCAAAAAAAATCATACGAAGAGAAATTCCTTTTCTTTCTTATTTAATATATTAAATAAATTGTTCATTACAAATTGTAGAGTTTTTTTCGCTGCATCTTATGGTATATTTTGTTTATTAATACAACGTATTAAATGATTGAATATTGAGATAGAATGCGTGTTAATCTCCATCAGGCCAGACTTGGAACTGGTCTGATTTTTCCAGACCGGGCCGGCCGGTCCAAACTCTTGCCTGAACCGGTGAAAAACCGGTCGGTTCAAGTTTATGACTTGCCTACGAAAAAACGGCTGGTCCAAATTCTTGGTTTACCTGACGAAAAAAGCAGTGCACTCATGTATTAGCTAAACAATCGATGTTTTCTCGAAAGAGTTTGTTAATTTATCTCTACTAAGACATATAATATCAAACTCATACAATTCTTGAACCTTCTAATAGCAGCGACTTCTTTTTTAGTCTGTCATATTTAGTATGCTAATATTCAGAATCAATGAAGATATCTTTCAAAAAGTTTTGACTAGGACTCACAGCAATTAGGATTGAACATCAGCTAACTATTCTTTGAGTCTTTTCAAATAATGATATGATTTATTTACTATTGATAGATTTAGTCTATTATTATTTGAAATACTAAGTTTCTTAGCACAGCTGAAATATATTCCACTCGACAGAAGAATGCTACTGTAGAGAGAAAGATAATCTGAGATAATCGATAAGATTTATACATTAGACTTCCTATTTGAGGTTTATTGATACCTAAACATTAACGCGGTTGCATGATGCTACTAATTAGAAAGACCGTGATAACAGAAAAGATTTTATTCAAAAGATTTTTCTATGAAAGCATGAACTTGAATACTGATGGCTATTGGGCTTCTATGATAATGAATTCATTCGCCATAATATGAGCCTCTGATGAAAGGATAAGAAAGTATTGGTGAATATTTAGAGCTACGATTTTCAATACGATTGAAATTTTGCCAGTGAGAAATTTTTCGAATTAAATATCTTGACCATTGATCTCATGAAAATCCTTAAAACTGAGCAAAGTAAGCAAGTTTTAGTTGCCAAAAATTTAAAAAAATAACCGGTGAAGACCGGCCGGTCCGATTGCAAGTATGTCTGTTTCATTAATAAAAGGTTAAAAGTCAATTAAAAAAAATATGTTGTGAGATATTAATATTCAATTATTTAAATATATAATCATTAAAATAATAATTTAATCGATACTATTTAAATAGTTGATATTATTCATATTTATTTATCAGATCTATTATTTATTTTATTTTTATCATTAGTGATATTATTTTATCGTTGATATAATTGAATAATAAAACCTTTTCTTTTTCTTTTATCCTAATTATATTATGCTTAGATTTATTTTAAATGATGCGATGAAAATAGCGTTTACTTTTATATTTGATATGATTTATCTTTTTTATTTTTATTAGAAAATTTAATTATTATATTGAGTGATTGATATTGTTCAAAAAACTAATATTCTTTATCTATATTATATTTAAATTCTATTAGAATGTTTAGATCTTTCGATTTGACGGATAGAATTTAAATAATTATTCTTTTTTGTCTTTTTTTTCCTGAATATCTTGCCAATAATAATATATTAAATATTATTTCAAGTTTAATGTATAATATAGACAATATATCATCATTAGTCTAGTCATACTAACACCAATCGTTAATTGATGAATAGTTTTACATCGAAATTATTTTGACAATAATATAACAATGGAATATTAAAAATTGATTAGGCTAGAATTTTTTTTTGTTCAACTTATTATCCTATGAGAAAAACAAAAAAGAATTTTATTGAAAATAAATTCGTTACTCGGAACAAATAGACGAGCTTCTTTGCTTTTTTCAAATATGATCGAGAAAGTATATTGAAATTAATAATAGTAGAAATTTCGACTCCTTTATACAAGACAGAAAAACTAGACTAAGAAGAATTCTGTTAAAGATTCAATTTGATAAGTTTATATATTATAAATATATATAGTTAGTAGTTAATTGTAATACGAATTTGTATTTATTCAAGTTCCCTTACTAATCGAAACGATCTTGAAAAATAAATATTTTCACTGTCGAACACTGAAAATTATCAGAATAAAAATAATTTATTCTATAATTATATTGTTAAGGAAAAAATGAGAAAAGAATTATTTTTTTGTTTTTGTTCTTATATATTTGATAGAATTGTTAATAATCTATTATATAAATATGCTATTGACTAATTACTCTTTAAATGTCTCAAGGATATAATCATCAATAATTTGTTTCCAACTTTTTATTTCTTCCAACAACAAAAAAAACAAAAGAAGTTAATAAAACATGATTTAATAGTTTTGTTTGAATATTTATTTTAAATATGTTAATCAGTTAAATGTTAAATCTTAAAAATATAAAGTAAAATCTTCCTGTCTATAATAATACGTTTATGACAAAAATCTTTTTAAAAAATTTATAAGTTTTCTATTTATTGTTTATTACTTTAACAAAAGTATCTTTATATTAAATTCTAAATAAATTCTTAATAAAGTATTATATAGAACTGAGAAAAATAATTTCTCTTTTATATAGGATCTAGAATAAATCAAAACAAATAAACAACAGAAGAAAAATAATATCGAATATATCTGTTATTATTATTTTGGCTAAATAGGTTGATTATTTTACTATTCATTGATGAATTATATTTATAAGTGAAATATTGTCAACAATAATTGTTTAAAACTGATTCGTTTAGTCAATAATAAACAATAATTTATGTTTATTATTTTCTATTGATTATCCTCATAACTGTCATTTTGTCTATTATTTATTTGACAGATAGATATATTCTTATTCACTCTATGCTGAAAATATTAACTATAAACAAGAATAAATTTGTTAATAAAAGTGTAATATTGCTTTTTGATAACACATGTAAAGATACACTTATTTGTTGAGGTTAGTTGTCATTCTATAAAACAATATTTAACAATGGTGCACTTATCAATATTATCTTTTAATAGTAAAATAATATATTTATTTGATTAAACTATGAGGAATAATATTCGGTTTTATTTATCTTGTTTGATCACTTATTAAATATTGAATATATTTATATAAGAAATTATTGTTTAACTCATTCAATTTTAATTTAATTACCGTTTTTTATAAAATAAATAAACATATTTAATGTATTTAAATATATTCGGTTTATTTATTTTCTATAAATATCTATATTGATAATAACAATCTCTGTCTAGAAATAAATATTCATTGATATGTATTAATAATATATATTCGAATATAGTTAGAGATTTAAAAACTAGAAATCATTTTTATTTCGATTTCGATTTCTATAAATATTAATAAATATATCTATATAAATCTGTTTGTTTAATATTGTCGTCGGATAAATATTCGAATAATTGAGAAATAAATTATAGTTAAATATAGTAAATCAATTTAAATCAAGGGGGAAAGTGCTGGCACCCACCATCCTAGAACCTCAGCACCTGCTCAGCACCTTTTCAGCACCTCAGCGCCATCAAGTCCAATTTGGCACTTGGTACCTGCACTTTCCCCCTTGATTTAAATAAATAAAAAAACTTAATGTGAAAAGTGAAGAAATTTCTGAAAAACTTAAATAATATATGAAGTTTTTCGTTTTTTTTAATTTCTTATTGATTTAATTAATAAAATATTGAGAAAGTTTATTAAAAGAGAATAAATTCAAGTTTTATTTATTTTTATTAATTGTTCTAAAATAATTGTTTTGAATAAAATATATCTGATAATGAAATAAAGAAAGATATTCTATTCAAGAGTATTGATCTATCATATTATATATAATATATATTTAAAGACTTATCGGAATTTATTCTTTTTAATCGAATATTATTATATTTTGAGAAATAAATGTTTAAAAATCTAATTAATGAATAGTTTTATCATTAAAATTAGTAAAAATAAAAGATAATAAATTGAATATTCGTTCGATAAAATTCATTTTATTTTAAACAAAATCGAACAAGACGTCAAGATGAAGTTTTTATTTTTGTCAATAATTTTATTCTGATTAGTCAATATAATAAATAATTTATTAAATTCTAGAAAATAATTTAGAAAATTAAATAAAAATAAATAACTTTTTGTTTTCCTCTTGATTATTTATTAAAATAAAACTTTGATGATAATCTAACAAGAAAAATAAATCGAATTTTTTATTTTTAATCGAAAAAACAAAAAAAAAAAATGTTTGTAGATGTCAAAGATTTATCTTAAAAAGATAAAGTTAATATGTTAAATAAAATAGTAATAAAATTTAATAGAATATATTCATTTTGAGAATGAATATTTATATAACTATATTATTATTATATATTAAACAGAAATAATATTCAATATTAATATATATATATTCATATTGATTCTTATTATTTAAATAACGATTTTATTTTATTTAATAATAAAATCGAAATATTTATTCAATATAGAATAGTGGATAAACAATGAATATTTTATTGTTTTATTTAAAATGTAATATTAGTTTTAGTTTTATTTTTCATAAATAGTTTTGATCATCAATGAATATATTTCGAAGACAATCGATTGTTTTAGATTTTGAAAGAAAAAGAGAAAGAGAAAGAGAAACGAGGCACATATATATTTATAATATCATTAAAGATAATAATATTCGATTTCTAAATTAAATATATTTATAATAGATTAATTTTATTCGATAAATAAATATTTATTAAGTTTTAAATAAAATAATTGAATATTAAATTTATTCATAAAAACAAAACAAAACAAAACAAAACAAAAGGTGCTGTTTACTTAAATTAAAAAAGAAAAACATAAGTAAAGAATTAAAAAGCATAGAAAAATGAGGGAAAATAAAAGTATAAAAAAAAGGTATTAAAGTTGTTAGCTTAAATAAAATAAAATAAAATAAAATAAAATATTTAAACAACTGATCTTCGTCTTGCATTTGCTGTTTTAACTAACTCATCAACTTCACTCCAATCAATATCAATAAGACAATCAACTATTTTAAGATCATCATAAATACAAGCAACATATTGACGACCAACTGTTGGAATTTCAGGTTTTATTGGATTAATAAGATTACCTTGTTCATTAACTTCTTTATTATTGGTAAATACAGGAATACTTTCACCTTAAATAAATTAATTCTTTCATCCTTTTTTGTTTATTTAATAAATAAATAAAAATGTATTTAAATATAAATCAAACCTCGTTGTTCATATGTATATTGTTTCATATTTTCATAAACACGTCCTTTTAAATTTCGAATTGAATCTCGATCAAATTTTAATGTAAAATGATCTTTAGGTGGCATTGTATGAGTTGATGGACCTTTTTCAGCTTCAGATAATGTTCCTAAAAAAGCCAATTTTGATTTTTCAATATGTTCTAATGCAAGATCTTTTCCTTTTAAGATTCCCATTCGGATAAATAATAACAGTTTATTCTTCGTTGTACTTACAAATAAATATAAATAACAATTGTTGCAAGTAAATATATTCATTCCTATATAAAACTTGAATTATTTTCCGTAGGAGTCGACAAAAAAAGACTTCTTGTTGACAGATAAATGATGATTGATATAAACATATATATATAGACAAAACTTATATAATTAGAATAAGTTAGTTGTTATCAGTTGTCTTGCTTTTTCTCCAAGAATTTCCGTTTCTATTTCGATAAATAATATTTATCTAACGAGAAAAGACATATGCTCCTATTGACAAAATAACCTTCAAACATGACAATTCAATTAAATCATATATTATTAGGATATATTTCTAGTGTAGCTTTTTTCTTTCTTTTTAGAGATTCTTATTAGCAGATTTTGCTCTTTCAACCTTCATTTATAGATTAACTATTCAATAATGATCTGATTAATAAAAAAAAATCTCTGACGAAGGGAGAAGAGAAAGAGAAAGAGATTCTCTCTTTATATATAATGATTATTTAAATAATATATTAATCAATGTTTGTTTAAATTCTTCTCCTGTTTTAATAAATATCTAAAAAAGACAAAAAAAAATAGAATAAAAACAACTGAAGTTAAATATTGTTTATATTATATTTGAAAATAATCAAATAATGAGGAGTTATTTGACAATAATTAATAACAAACAATATTTAAATAAACGAAAAACATTTTTTTTTCTTATTTTCTTTTTTCTATAGAAAACCTTTAAAATAATATATTAGGATTAAAATGATTCCAATTCTTAATCATAAAAATAAGATTTTATTTTATTTATTTTATTTATTTATTATCTTGACATAAAAAAACAAAAAAAAATAAAACATTTATTATATTTATTGTCTTATTCATATTATATCTCGAATTAAAAACAAGAAACAATAACTAATATATTTATATACTTAGCTCATACAAAAAGTAGTGAGCCCCATATCTTTATTTCGTATAGAGTGATTGGAAAAAATTTCTTTTTTTATGAGTCAGTCCACGTAAGCCACGACCGAACCTGTTCCATCGATGTCGTCAGATCTGGCTCATTTTTTGATATGTTGTAGAGACAAGATTTTTAAGAATATCTGTGAAAGATTTTTGAAAAAATATTGAACCGTTCATT